GAGCAGGTTACTCAAAGCCCCATCCAACGTGGCCTTGAATACTTCTGGGGATGGGGCATCCACAGCTTCTCTGGGACAGCTTTTGCTGTGCCAGTGTCTCCCCACCCTCAATAAAGATTTTTTGCCTAATATCTTAGCTGAAACTACCCTCTTTCAGTTAAAGCCATTACCCACTTGTCCTATAACTACACAGCCTTCTCATTATATAAATCTACATTTTGGGCAGCACTTCCCAACTTTGAAAAATGATTTTTAATTACTATACCTTATGACTCATTGATCTTTTTTTTTGTTGTGTTTAATTTTGGTTGTACTGTTAGGTTATGTGGAACCAGAGGAAGAGGTGAATAGTACAGAGGATATAATGTTTCTTTCCTTTGCTGAGCACCATGTAGTGCTAAGTATTCCTAAAAGCTATAGTTGCACCAGAGCATTCTTGATCCAAGAAAATTAGTCTTACACTTGATACCCTTCTAAAGTTCCTAAATTGATCAGGCTTTTTTATTAATTGTTTCCATGCAGTCAAGAAGCAAAGTCTCTGCCTGAGCTGCCTCTGTAAATCCAGCTGTTTGTGCAACTCCTTAGTCACTGGTGAGATTGATTTGTAGAACTGATTGACAAAGGTAGGTGGTGTAAGCCAGGAAGATTAGATAAGGTTAGAGTCACAAATGCCTTGTTTTCTGCATTTTAAGAGGGGTGTGGTGAAGATGATTTTTACAGCAAGAGATGTTTGGAGTGCTGATTTTATGCTGAGCGAACATGAATACAAAATAGCTAAGGAGAAACACGTTTCATCCTGAAACTGCTGCTAATAGAGATCTCCTTCCTGTGGCAACCGGTTCTCACTGAATCTCCACAGAGACCCAGAGGATAATGTATATTGGAAGGGATCTCACCATGGCATCAAGTCTGACACCCTGCTCCAGACAGGGACTGCTTGGAGAAGGCTGCTCAGGGCAGTGAGTCTTGACACAGTATCTGCTGGAGACATGGAAGGGATTTCCTCAACTCCAGCTGCTGCTGCTTTGGGCCACCCTTCCCCTTTATGTTTCTGATATATTATCCTTCAGACCAAGCTCAGTGAAGCATTCTGATGGGGAGTAAAGACATTGGTGGAATAGCTGCTGATGGGAAGGGAAAGCACGTGCTGCACCTTGCAATGCTACAGCCACTGCTGTACCTGGGCAGCTTTTCCAAGGTAAGGGGATGGGACTGAGCCACCCAAGCAGCAGTACCATGGAATGGCTCCAGGCAGTCAGGGTGCAAGATTTGCTTCTGTCACCTCCAGATGCAAGCAGCAAATTAATACTGGTCTGGTGAAGAACTAGCAGCAACTAAAGTTATCTTCTCAACTATTTAATAGGAAAACAAGTGGTCTATGTACCATGCTGAGTGTGCTTTATGCCTCTGCCTCAATAGAAACCCACCGCTGCCTGCTGATGCATGGTACTCCTCCACAGAAACTTAAGAGGCTATGAACTGTTGATGACTCAAAAAAACATTTTAAAAATCTGCCTTCAACTAAGTTGTCTTGCTGTAAGTGGTTTTAAATCTCTCAGGAAGACTATCTCCAAAGCTTGAGTATTAATGAGTAGCACATTTATAAAGACCTTAAACTGACTACAGGTTTAAAGGTTCATGAAGACCCTTCAGCAGAAATTATCTCCTTACAAAGGGGAGAAGATATTAGAGCTACAAAGTTATATTGCTGTAAATTCTAAGAAACCTGAATTTTTTACTAGTTTAATTCACACATGCTAGAGAAGCCGGTAAAAGAAACTTAGTTCAAAAAGAAAGGGAAATAATTTGTTTATTAGCCTTACTTTTTATCTCTGCATCTGGACAGGGGTCATCTTATTTACTTTGTCTCATCCACTGTTGCCACTCCTCCCACGTACTGTGGGCTTTGGGGAGGAGCTGACAGCTTCTGCATGTTTGCACAGCACAGTGGGCTAAGCCCCCAGTAACCACTGGCACAGTGGTATCTGCCTTCCCAAAGGCTAAAAACTGAGATGGCTGTTGCCAGAATTGGCCAGATTTGATCCAGTTTTCAGCAAATAGTTAAATTTGCTGAAATTCATCTCATCCTAATACAGGTGTTTTAAATGGGACAGAAGAATCATGCTCCAGAATTACCTCTTTTTTACTAATAAGGCAGTATTAAGGTGACTACCTTAAATGAGATGCATGTATGGACTGCATGTGAAGCCAAATCCTATTTGTAAAATGATTACTTATAATGGTAGGTATAAAGGAAAGGAAAAACTGCTCTGAATTTACCAATTTCCATTTAAACCAAACAAACACTTACTGAACAAACATCATTATTAGGCTGGGAAAGTCAGCACACCTTCATGAGGGTCTCCCTCATCTCTTTGGATACATCCAGTGTAGCAGTCTGTATTTAAACTAGTGACCCGAGTTCCCCCTATACTCAGTGGGAAGACTCAAGCATATTCAGACTGCAGTGTATTTCACCTGCTTGAAATACTTTGTGATGAAACAAATAATGCCCCAGAAGAAGCTGCTTCTCTTCACTGGCCATCCAATTTTACTCTGCAGCATCAATAGAAAACCAAGTTTTGGAGCTGCCCAAGAGCAGATGCACCTCAGAACATTTCATTTTGCTCTCTGTGAGGAAAATGACAATGCTGGGAATGTCTAAAAGGAATTCTTAGCCTTCTCTCTGTATTAAAAGGGAAGGAGGTTTCAGCCTAAAAGGCAAGGAAGAATCTAGGATAAGGGACAGAGCTAGATCCTGGACAATAGAGATGATTTCCTCTGTCCTTAGCTGCTAAAAAAAAAAAAAAAAAGGCGCAAAATCAAAAAGTGCTTATCCTGGAGCAAAGGTGCAACTGGAGAAGAGAAGCAATAAACATGCTAAAAAATGTTTCCAGTATCTGATCACTTATGACAGAGGGAGCTGAGGAAAGTGCATTTTTCCAAACTGATGTCTTTAAAGTCTGCTAAATAGTAAATGGCACACCTGGAATTTTATTATTATTATTATTGTTATTGTTATTATTATTGTTGTTATTATTATTATTATTATTATTATTATTATTATTTTTCATTGCTGCAAGAGTACGTAAAGTTTTTCCTATCTCACAGTGACATTGCTGACATCGAATGGTGACAGAATAGGGTTCTTCACACTTAAAAATGTCCTATACAACTTGCTATTACTGCTCAAACTTAACAATTTATCCTTCTGTTCCCTGCTAATGCTGCAGGCAGCTGAAGATGCATTCAAATGAAGTAACACTGTTAGTTTACTCACTGTCTTTCCAGTGAATGTTATTTCCTTCTGTGTGATACAGCTGAAGATTTCAGGTGTCCCCTTCTAATTATGCAGCAAAATGTGTAGCACCAGATATTGTGTGAGAAATACATATTCTGAAAAATATTTTTTTTTCCAGTAATACTTCTACTGTGTTTTATGGAGGAATGATATTGGAGAGGTTACCACTCTTTTTGACTCTTAAACAAAAACAATTTTCAGTGGACTGTTACACCTGGAAAGAAATAATACTCGACTCTTCCAGCACAAGGAAAGACCATCAAAATGTAGTAAGAGTTTCACCTGTCTTCCCAGGAAAGGTTTCCAAGCGAACAGCATTTTTCAAGGACGGGATTAGGGTATGGGCAATAGGTTTCCCTGCTTCCAGAAGGAACACAGATGAGGTTTTGCACATAGATTCACTCTTCATTTGTTTGTGGCTTACACTGCCTCACCATCCTCTGCAGGCAAGGCGAAAGCTCAGCAAATGAAGAAGCCTGTATGTAAGATGAGAAACCGTCCATGGGGATGTATGGAGTGACTGCCAGGGAAGCCCTCAGTCAGACCCAGGCAATGCAGTCAGATCCTGAGGGCTGGCCCAGTACAGGAGATTGGCATGGCTGACTCTCATCTCCTCATTGCATCCTTTGAGTGTGGGGCTTTCTGTTCCCAAGCTGAATGATAAAGTCATTATTTGCTTCTTCAATGCACACTTGATTCCCTTTTCTGAATCACAGTTCAAGTCCCTTTTAGGTATACCCTTGATATCAGCACAGCAGTCTAAATACAATCAGTCCTAACTTTAAAACAAACTACATCAATACTGTATGATGGACAGGATTCAGTTTACATGCTGGACACATATGCAAGTATGTATGTACTTTGCAAGAAAGCACTGGAAGTTAATTAGTTTTTTTTAACTCACAGGCATATATTTAATTTTTTTTTTTTTTTTTTTTAGGAGCCTGTTGCTTTTCAGTGCAGCAGTACCGTACCCTACTGTGTTATATCAGACTACTTGGGTTGTCCAAAATGCTCTGAGATGAAGTTCCTGTGCTGAACATGGCCCGAGGGCTCCCTCCTACCAAATCACAGGAGAGACTGGTGTGCCTCAGCTCTTCAGAGGATTTGTTATCCCATCGTGCTTTGCAGAAGGGAGACAGACTGGAATTGCAGTTTAGTCCTTCAGTTCACTAGATGAAAGTCATCTCTATGCATAAGTCCTATGCACCACCTTAGGTCCTCTTCTGGACTCAAAATCAGGATGTAAGATGAATATAAATGGCACAGAGATCTGACTTTGGTTGCCTGCAGAGGGGTGAATTTCACCTACAAGGAACAGCTACAGCCAGGTTTCTGAACCCATGTGAAAATGCTGGGAATTTGCACCGTTGACTGGCTTGGCTGGGGAATGAAGATGCTCACAGGAAATGTTTGACACTTGCAGGAATTTGGCTTATTTTGTAGTAGAGAACAGATAAGCTATACCTGAATTCCTAAACTTACTGTACTGGCATCAGAGTAACTAGAAACCACAAAATAAGAAAAAAAAAAAAAAAGAGAGAGAGAGAGTAGACTATGTATAGATATATTTACATATAGAAGCTTCTGTTCATGGGAGTTCTATAAGCCACTGCCTGCAATAGCAAGGGAATTCTAGAGATGATTTTTAAGAGACTGAGGAGATGGGGTTGTGAGGTGAGCCCATCTGTGTCAGCACCTTATCCAGCCATTGCAATGGTCCATGCAGGTGGATCTCAATCCAGCAGGGCGTGCTTGTAACATCTTGGCGATGATACTCTGCTCCCCAGCCCTATAAAGGACCAAAAAGTGAGGTGGTTTTTTATAAAAAAAACACTCAAAACATTAAATCACAACTCCAGTGCTCATAGTCTAATACAGCTACAGATAGTCCACCACCCAAGTACCCGAGATTTAATGCTTTATCCTAGGGATAATTTTCTCTAGAAACTTTGCTCCTTTTTAAGGTCACTATTATCATCATAATTACCAGGGACTCAATGCTATTAAATTAAAAATCTCAGTCACACTTCCAGGTGCTGAGAACAACTGGCATGGAAGGGCCTGTTTCCAAGTGTGGCTGCCTGCAAACAGCCCATGGGGAATGGTCCCTGTTGTTTGCACCCCAGGGACATGCCCAGGAAAGTCTGGCCGTCTGCTGTCTGGCACCAACAAAAAGCCAGCCTCTTTCATTAACAGGAATTAGGAATGTTCCTGGGCACTGCTTCATGAATTGGTAGAGTTTCATCCTGTAAGACCTTAGAATTTCTAAGCATTTATCTAAATCTCTGGAAACTTGCAGCAGTTCCTATGTACCATACTTAGCCTATGTATAAATATTTTCACAGGTTTTCTACCCTTGAACATGTGCTCTTTCCCAACAAGAGCTCCTGGCTGTCCGCTGTGGGAAGTCCTGCAGTAATTTCTCCAGCTCTCTTGGGGAAGATAAGGGATATGAAACATTTGAGAGAAAATGGGAATGGGGTGCTGGCAGGGAGAAAAGAAAACCTGAAGTACACATGCTTCAAGGAGAAGGCTTAAGTTTGGAAAAGGCTATTCTCCTAGAGGGCCATTGGGTACTGGAACAGGCATCCCAGGAAAGTGGTCATAGCACCTGACAGTTCAAGAAGCACTCAGACAATGCTTGTGTGTGTGACTCTTGGGGATGGTGTTGTGCAGGGCCAGGAGCAGGACTTGATGATCCTGATGAATCCCTTCCAACTCCACACATTCTATGATTCAAGCAGACACAGTGTCTAAGCAGTGCTAAGCAGGCAGCCTGACGTCACAGCAGCACAAGGCATGCAAGTCACAGGCCAAAGTCTTGCAGCTCACCAGCTGTCTCACTGGCAGAACTGAACTCAGATTTCCACAGGGCAATGTGCAAAACATGGTCCCACTACAGGATGAAAATCTTCATTTGTGGGATGCTGATCAGACACTGAGTCATACCTGTCATTATGACAGGCAGGCAGGTCGGTATGTCATGAAAAAAGGACATGGAGGTATATTAAGACTGATGGCTGCCAAATTCACCAAAATTTTAGAGTGCTGAGCAGCTCAGACAACTGAGGCTGCCAGAGCAGCCACTTCTTTAGATGATAGCTGGAAAACTGAGATCAATAGTAAAACAAGATGTCGCCATAAGCAGTCTGGATAAAGCCCATGGTAACTAATGAAGAGAAGAGGAAAGAAAGCAGAAGAGTAAGATATGGACCCACCAAAGCCCAAAGAGTACTTCCAAACAGGTAGCATTTTTCTGAACTGCAGAGCATTTATCAGACTAGAAAAAGCCTGCGTTCACAGAACCTCAGACAGATGTTCTCTAAATGTTTGCAGAAAACATGTGTTTGCCAGCACAGTCAGACTTCTGAGGTGATGAAATCACAAGTACTCAACTGCAGTGAAGATACACAGCCAAGAGAGCAAGTGCCAGAGAAGCTGGCACGCCTTGCAGACAGGCAGGACAGAAAATCCAGAGGAACAGCAATTACAGGATTCAAATCCAATGTGCCAGATTTGGGGGAGCCTGGCAGGCGGCTGGCCATCTCCCTCTGCTGGCAACTCCCAAACACACCCAGTGATGCTGTCTCTGGCTGGAGCACCCCAGGGGAGATGCCAGGAGGTCAAGGACCCTGATGTTCCCTGTGTATCACTCTTGGGTTGCAGGTAGCCTTCTTCACCCCAGGACTGAGAGGAGCCCAGAGCTGGAGTTCTCTTAACGAGGGAATAAATTGAGTACAACTTTCAAAGCTGCAATGGTATTTTCCAAAGATGGTGTGAAAAGGATACCAGTACCCCCATGGGTCCTGCTGCTCCTGCCAACACTTCCCACCTCCTGTGAGCAACAGCCTAGGCTTCGTGCCCCAGAGTGCTGAGCTCTCATGTCTGCTGTGTGTTCCACTTAGCCCCAAGACCCAAGGAAATGAGGAAGGGATTGTTCCGGCTTCAGACCTCAGCTTGGAGGTCTCTTCCTTTGTGCTCCAGCTACCTCAGCTGTGGAGAGGCGGTAAGAGCCATCCCGCTTTGGTTATCAGCAGGGCTTAGTGCTGATAGTACACCCACATTTTGAGCTCATCTCAGCTGCTCTATGGGCACACAAAGGGCATCAGAGGGGACAAGACCTTCACCTCTCTTTGTCCCATGCCCTGCATCCAGAAGATGGCACAGTCCTGGCAAGTTTCTCATGTCTTGGTCCCTACCCATCCCTGCCTCCCAGCTGGTAGCTCAGGCACTGGTGGGATCCAGCCCTTTGGGCTGTAGGTGACCAGCAGTAACTGGACACAAGTCAGTGGAGAAGCCACTGCACTGCCCTGCACACTCTTGGGCTGTGGCTCTGACAGACAACAGGCCCCTCTGGGCACTGCATCCCCAACACCCAGAGTCACTCCTGACCCCAGACTGAGCAGATGAGGGCTCACTTCTTGGGAGGGAAATATTTTGGGAAGACTGAAAACAAGGAAGCATATTTGCAGACCAGGAAGAAAGAGCCTAGATGAGATTTGCATAGCAGTTTTCCAGACGTCATGGGAATGAGTTCAAAATCTCTCCTTGCACTGGTCTTCTGGTGCCTGAGGCACAATAATAGCTGCTATTATTTCAACAAAGCAAGGTGATAATATGGCAGCAGCATTATATAGTGCATCAACACCACCATTTCTGCTGCCGAGTGGGGCATGGAGGCAGATAACACATCAAAGAGCCTGCCCCTGAATCACCGAGATAATGAAAACATTGCGTAACTGGCTACACTGCCTTTACAAACAGCATGCCCATTCATGCCTTCCATTAAAGAAAATGCTGTTTGTTGCTTTTCTTGCCTTCCTTTTTTTGCCCTAATGCTTGTATGTGAACAAGATATCAGTTCCCTCTCAAGAACAAAGCAACAGCATGGTCATGGGCATGGAGATTTTGGCTTGGACTCTTGGGAGAGATTACAGGGAACTCTTAATGCTCTTGAAGACTTCAGAAGATGGGTCCCCAAGGATGGCTAGAAAAAGTTAGACCAGAAAGATATGTAGGACTCAATTCATTTGCTCTGTAGAACTTAAGGAAACGGGACTTGAGCCTCAAGCACTTTTTGGTATCTTAGATGTGAATTCAATCATCTCAGTTCAGTCATTTGTATAGAAACAAATCTGCAAGATAAAGGCAAAGAGACACTCAAGCCATTTTTATGGTACCTACCAGGACCACGGGCTTCTAATGGTGCAACTGCTCTAGTCTGCCGGCTGAACATTGCTGCCAGCTCTCCCCAGCAGCACTGGTCTAGCATCATCTGGAAACTATCCTGAAACACTTGCCATTCTTTAGGGGTTAAATTACCACATGTTACAACAGGCATGTAAATAAATCCTAAATACTAAAAGGAGTTGAGAGGTCTCATTCTGGTGGGAAGACCATTCAGAAATTTGAGAAAGTCCCACAAGGACTGATAGATTGCCCACAGAGCAGTCAGACTGTGAAATTCAGATAGGAAGGACATTAGAACAGTAATGGCTTTGGTGGCCTCCTGTCTCTTCCAAATAACAGGGGGAAGGTCACATTTTCTTTTGGGTTTTCTGTTCTGCTTGCAAGAAGCTCTTCTGGTTGTGTGGCTGGCCAGAGTGAATGTCATCAGAAAGTAAGACAATATTTGTCAGGGATCAGGCAGATGGCAAACAACAATTCTCTGCAAACTCAGTCAGGGATGAAAAAGGACCCAGTGTTTCTTGATTGAGAAAATGTATACCAGTCTATGGTACTGGTGAGACTGTAAATTAGCCTAAATACATAAGGACATTCTTTTCAGATCAATGGCTCTATCAAGCTCAATTGCAAACCAGTAACAGGAGAGATCACAACTGCCTAAGATATGTGCTACTACATTTACATGTTGCCAAGCTCTTCTGAGTTGAGCTTTTTGAACAATCAGTGGCGGAACACTACCATGCATTCTCTATTTTCCATAAAGAGCCTATGGAATATCTAAAATTTGTAACTTAAGAGATTTTCATGTTGACCACAAAAGCCATTGATTTTGAGCACCTGTAAGTTTAAGGCAATACTGGAAAACAGGCAGTATGAATAGCTGTTCGAAAGTTGGGTATCTACAGCTTCCCTTGGAATGGATTTGATGGGATCTAGTTTTACACCAAAGCTAGCAAGGATGCAAGAGAAAGCAAAGGATCCTTACTTTAACAAAGCTCATTCGAATAGTACACATCTTGGTCAGCTCATACACCACTTCGAAACCGTGATTGACTGACTGGGCAAGCAACTGGGCAAAGAGCTGGTTGTTGAAGATCTTGAGGCTGCAGCCACTGGGGATCTTGCAGACCGTGGCTGGGTGGAAACCATGCTGGTAGTTACAGTTGCGGCTTTGCACAAAAATACTGCTGTCGCTGACGCATTCGGCATAGACCTCCCCACCAACATAGTAAAGATGAACACCTTGAAAAACAAAATATAACATGAATTATTTCTCCATTGTTCACAACACACTTTATGCCAGTAATAAATTATTTTACTGGTTTGGGTATACAAACTCAGGATCCTTCCAGGATCTTTGTTTCTCAGTGCAGGTTGCTTTACTTTTACCCAACAGCATAGTAGTTTATGACAAAATACACATACATAAACATCGAGCACATGTCAACCATATCCTAAACATCAAAACTATCCAGGAACACAAAAATCACTATTGCATTACACAGCTAAATGTATTTTCACTGTTAAGCAAACATGCACACTGGCCCACTTCACTGCATGCTGCTGTTTTACTACAGGATCCTACTGTTATACATTTAAAACACAGCATGGCGTGTACTTAAAATAGCTTTTCTGTATTTTGCTTTATCTGCCACATCAGAACCATGTATTTGCATTTACATGATGTGACTTACTCATCAGATCCTGTTCCAAGTAACCTTTAGCAAGAAAATGACTGATTTGCCTCTGAACTTTTCAATGTCCTAATGACTTACTAACTCAGATTTTGACAGTGACTTGGGGAAATTAAGGTGGAAACACTTTTATCCCTGCAAAGACTGATCCACCAAGCATATCTGCTTGCATGAAAACATACCTGAATTGGTGGGAGAATTTATCTTAGCCTAACTCAGCAGCCTTGAAGGTGGGGATCACCACTGTAACACAGTAAGTCTGTAGATGCCTTCTGTAGCTGATAGATGGAGAGGGGCACTATGACCAGATGATTCACTCCATCTGCTACAGAGTGCAGGCTCAGAGCCAGCTTAAAGCCACGGAAGTCTGTGCAGGTGCTGAAAAGGCTCTCCCATTCCCTGCCCCTGCTGGCACACCTGCTTTCATGCTGGCAGCAACAGCTGAGGATTGGGCTGCTGTCCAGGCTGAGGAACTGAACCAGCTAATATATTTAAAAACAAACAACCCAAAATTTATTTTCAGCGAGATCTTGTGATATCTTCATTAGTGCAAGTGTGGCAATGGGGGCCCTGACTGCTTTAAAGTGAGCGCGAAACCACAACCTGAAGAGGGCCAAGTCATCCTGTGAAAATGCCCAGACAGTCACCCTTCCCATGGCTAGATCAGGGGAATATGAACCCTTCCCATGGCCAAGAGAGGTGGAAGAACTCAGTTGTTTGTTCTTGTAGAAACTGCCACTAAAAAAAAATAAAATCCTCTTCTCTATGCTAGGTATGCCCTTCAAATGCACAGAAACGTTCACAGAGCCTCAGAAGATTGCCTGCAAAGCTACTGGTAACTGTGGTTTAATAATGCAGCTGTAATAAGTTTTATTCCTGGTGTCTTTCATACAAACAAAGACTGGTTACATAGTCCCAGTGTGGTCATCATTCTGCAGTCATAACAACAAGGGGCAGCAGCACATCCTTAGGACAAAACCAGCATCTAAACAGAAGTGGGAATGGCAAGGGCAAAAGGAGGTTGAATGGGAAAATAATCTGGGAAAAATATACTCTCCCATAGTCTTCCAGGGTGACTCAAATGGGAACCTTAAAGTCTGTCTTCAAGCCATCACTTGACTTCTGAGCACCCACAAGATCTGAAATGAGCTGCGAGTGGCAGGGGTGTGGCTTGGAGCACACTCTGGTACTGCACTGGGAACAGCAGCGACAGGAAAGCACCAGCTCCAACTCCACCAGGCACTATGGGGTGCTGCACACTACAACTGTTACCTCCTGACCTTCCTTCCCATGGATATGGATAAAAGAGAAGGACAGAAAGTACCTTGATGGAGTCCACATAGCTTTCTGAAATAATCTCATGAAGTGAGAACAGAGAGTAGGGAGAGAAGAATAAGGACATACACCACATTTCAAATCTTCAGGTGTAGCTACTGATTTAGGGTCACCACAGGGGGTGCTAAGGTGAAAAATGGTAAAGGCTGGGTTATTTCAGAAAATATTAAAGAACCCATTTTCTGAAAAAAAAAAAAGATAATGTTTTCAAAGGCATTGAAAGACATTGTGCTACAATAACAAAAACATCAATGTCACTTCTGAAAGCAGAGGTTACAAATTGTTTTTTACTAGTGAACTTTTTAAAAGCAATAAATACAACACTAATCAGTGTGTATTCCTGTTATTCTAGTAGTCATTCACCAGGGGAATGCATCCTAAAGGAAATCTAAAGAAAAGCAGCTAAATACATGTTTGTAGAAAACCAAATCAAAGGTCCATATGTTTTAGTGGTATTTCATTGCTCCCCGCAGAAACTGAAAATTCAGCAGTCTCCAAGCATCCACATCTTTTTGACATTTAATCAAAAGTTCCTTTTTTTGTCCTTGAAGTCTGACTGCTGAACCAGGTCCAATTGCTCGTAGATGTTGCATTGTGTTCCGGATTGTTTTTAGCTTTGATGTGGCATTTCCAGGAAACAGTTTAATGCTGATACACTAGATGACAATTCAATCACATATCCTTATCCTACTGAGCTAATCTTGTTTACTCACTCTTTTTTCTCCCGTGTTAACATGTGACAATTGTATCCATTTCAGCAGCTTTCATCTGTCCACCATGCCTTTGAACTATATGCTTCTGGAGCTGCTCTGTGCTCTTCTGCAGGCCTGCACTACTGCCACTTGTACTCCACTTGTATATGTTTTTTTAGGATTTGCATAAACAGGGAAGAGCAGTAAAATTAAGGATCTCTGATAAATTAAGCTCCTCTCTGGGCAACCTGGTCCCTTCCCTTGGGCACATTCCTAGTGTAGGACTTTAAAGGACTTTTAATGAATTAAGACAGATCTTCACACTTAAATGGATGAAAACCATTAGCATTTACCTAACTATTTCTGTTGTCTCTTTGTCTTTTGGGGCAGAAAGTCAGAGGCTGTAACATCGCCAAATGACAGATTGGGGATCTTTTGCCATTCATCTTTTAGGGACAAGCTCATCTTTGATCTACATCCCCCTCTGACAGCTTACACTGGTAGGATGTAAAGCTTTATTTTCTAAGTTAGAACTAGATGTACAACACATTTGCAAGCCACACAATGAACTGCTATGGCACACACTTGTAGCATCTGCAACATAGGGGTTTTCCATTTGGGGGGAGGGGGATGAAGTGCAAGAGCTGAGCAGAACACTGCCTGCTCCAGCCCTCAGGTTCACTGCTGTTTGCAAAAACTGTATCACATTTGTCTCAGAGCTTCTTCTTATTCAGTCATTCAACACTAGACTATCAAGGGCCAATTAAAATATTGCCCTAGGCCTGGGAAATGAAGTGAGGTTGACAAGATAATAGGAGTGGAACAATTAGAGTTAATTAGCCCAGTGGGAAATGCATTCCCAGGCAGCTACTGGTGAGAGGCTTGGGTTGGAAAGATAATGAGTCTAGACTGGATCTACCAGAACAGGCAAAGCTTCACCTGCATGGAGAAGTGGCTGGCACAGGGCTTCTGACTCACCACCACAAACAATAGTAAGTTCTGGGAGAATATCAGACCCTGCAGAGCCCTGGGGAGCTGGAACGGAGTGTCCAGGTGTGGTCTCCTTGGCAGCAGCAGCAGCATGTCACATTGCATGCTGAGGGTGTATGGCCACCAGAGGTGGAGCATGCACCAGCAACCACTGGTGGGAGAATACAAACCTTCCTTTTACTAGTGAAAAGCTGACAAAACAGGGACTGGCAGGGGGGCAGGGGGAAAAAGCTACAAACACAATTCTACCAGAGTTCTTCAGCTAAGTAACTCAACTACTAAGTGTTTCATCCATCTCCCTTTGTTATTTGGTGGGAGGAGAAGCAGCCCTGAGGCACCAGCAATTATCCTTTTAGTGGCATTTCAATGGCAATATTCCCAGTTGCCAGAAGCTCTAATAAATAAAATGAAAATACATACTGCTAAATTAGAACACACAACTATAAACAACATTTTTTCTCTTTGCTGGCCAAGTAAATAACCTTTGTAAGGAGTTACTCTGCTGATTGTTATCCAGTCAGAAAAGAATGCTCTGCTTTTCTTCTATTTCAGAAGTAATGTCAGAGGTTTGATTTTAAAGCAAGCGCATCTGACGAATCAGCACGGCTTGGTAATGCAATGCATGGATCTTCTGAGCTCTGAATATTATTCCTGAGGAGAGGGGATTTCCTCTTACCTTTTCCTATGTGTCTCCTTGTGTTTTCTATAGTAGAATTGCGGTTTACGTTTGAGAGCAGACCCAGGCAGAACCTGTTTTTGTTATTTGAAGGATCTGTAAATCCATCTATAAGGATACTTCGAGAGGAGGCCTGGAATGTCTCCCCTACCCGATTGTTGAGTTCATAGTAGGCAACTGAGCACCAGTGTTGGGGTTCTTCATAACAAACAGGCCGAAAGTCTGTAGGAAATAATGTTAAGCAGATGCTCAGGTTTCAGCAATATTTTTTAAGCAATCTTTCTCTGTTTTCTTTCATTCCCTCCCACTCTACGCCCCCGATCTCTTCATCTAAACAGTCACTTATGTCACACTTTATCCCAACAGCAGCTTCCATTGCTTCTTGATTTTATGACTGAAGTCCCAAACATGCAAAGGGTTGGTGCACCAGCTTAAGTCTAAGCCTCTGAGGAGCCCCACTTCTTAGAAGTGGAAACTCCACTGTATTAAATCAACCACACTGACATTCCTCACTGAACTGTGGCCCAAAGTATACACCAAAAATAGTAAGGGATACATCTGCTCTGCACACCAGCAGGAGATAGGGATGACAGATGGGCTCAAAGCAAGTCAAAACTGAGCCAAGTTTTTGGTATTAGGCTGAAGGCCTTCAGCCTAATACCAATCTCTGTAGTCCAGAAGCAATAAATCACTCCAATTTTTGCCCGCTTTCAGGCTTTCTGCTTCCATGTGAGACTGTAAGCAGAAATGTTAGCAGGGTCACTTCTTTTGCATCCATCCCTGCCCAGTTTTCCAAGTCAGAGACAGAGAAAGGCTCAAAAATGTAACAGAATATCTGAGCCTCATTTGTCATTTGAATTAGTAGGAAACTTTATCCTGCCTGCTCACCACAGGCATGTGAGCCCGCCTGCCCCCAGAGCACCTCTGTGCATAACCTCTAAAAAACTTCCAACTAATATTCACTAGGATAGTGATCAGGCAGATGGTAGGCTGTGATAAAGAGATTAAACTAGGCTTGACAATTTATTTTAAAGTATTGGTGTCTGATAACTTGTTATTATCCAGCCATTCTGTGTCCCCATCAGTAATTAGCACTATTCCCTCACATTCCTTCTGCTCCAGTTCCATGCTACACAAACACTTGTCGCTGCTTCAGAAGGCTGGCAATATTTTTTTTAATGTGTGTATGTAAGCAGTGTTCAGTCCTCATTCTAGAAATGACATTTCTTTAGGAACACAATATGATGGACTAAAAGAACAGTGGTGATTTTTCCTTTGCAGTAGCAGGAAGGCAAAGCAAAAGCCAGCAGAGGAAATCCATTTCCCCTTCAAACTCTGAAGCAATGGCCTCTGAATGGTGGGGTCATCAGTACTAGAAAATACTACCTCAAAGGTAGGAGAGGCCGTGCTGGAGAGGTCAGCAAGTTGCTTTGAGGGTTGCAAGCAGGACCCCAGACCTTTCTTTGACCATTAATGCCTCTCTCACTACAGAGTTCTTATAAGATGACAGACTTCAGTCTTCTGTCAAAATATCTTTGTAGTCCACTAGAACATGTCCTTTTCTTTTCTAGCCAGCCAGTAATCTAACATTAATACAAAGATGGCAGAAAAAAGCTCCCTACCATAAGGCTTTAAAGTACTTGAAACCTAGAGCCGAAGGTGATAAAGAAATGAGTTCTGATATTGATATTGCTTTTGTGTGTTAAATTGCTCCACCATCCTTGATTCGATATGTTTATCTTTACAACGTAGATAACAGTGTTAGCTTTCATTAACAGCTTTTTAACTGTAATAGTCCATGGATGCAAATAAGGTCTAAACTCTGTAACTTTGCACATAATCCATCGAAATATTGCATCAACCTCTCCTGCTAGCTAATGGATGGGTCTAGCACACAGCCTTACTGCAAAACTGCCTGCAACTTGTTATTAAAGATCACTAAATCTTCTTGTGCAAATAACAATTTTTTTTAACAGTTTTTATTTAAAGAATAGTACAAATGGTTATTTACTTTCAGCTTCTCCATCGGCAGATTTACCTCCATTGGGCAAAGACAGCACGAGCTGACTTTCAGCTATTGCATCCATTGACCGTCCACTGTGGATTCCTGGAGGTTCTCTTGCATGGTAGGGCGGAGGTGGAGTTTCCACTACAGAAAGAAAAAAGGAAGGAAACAGAAAGGAAGAAAGATACCCAAGTCAGTATGTTGGTAAATTCCTCCTGGCTTTTTTCATGGTGAATATTTTACTGCTTCAGCATTGTTTGGCCTGAGAAGACTGGAAAAAGCACAGATCTGAATCTGACCTGCCTTCAGCCTCTAGATTAAGACCATTGCATGTTCAGCAAAGATGAGAAGGAAAAGCTGACATGTTGGACATGTAGTGCTTGAAAGAGAGAGGGATTGTCACAACAGTGCCTCAGGTCTAGACCTGTGTAAAACCAAGTTCTCTGTCAATACCAGTTGGTCCCCTAAGAAGGTAACGCAGTTACACCCGTTATTTCCAGAATCCTCTCTTTAATGTAAAACTTGAGGAGGATGATTTACGAGCAGAAGTTGACTTTATCTGATCCCCTGGAGACAGCTCTCTTTGTCCATAATCTGTAAAAAAAGCCTATGGAAAACCATAGAAATAAGACTTGGCAAAACCTCCTCCGGATTTGTTCTTTTCTCCTCTGTCCTACAAAGGTCAGAGGTCTGTCCCTCTCCTGGTTTGTTCAGTCTCCTATCAAAGAGCAATAGATGTCACGAAAACATTGGGAGCAAAAGTACCAAGTCAAACTGCTCAGCTCCTGATTTGTTTCATTTAAAGCAACATGAGCTAGAAAACAGAAGGTGACTCTATAGTGGGGACTATCCAGAAAGGCTGGAGGCTTTAGAAAGCCAAATTAAAAAGGACTTCATTTTCATATTATAAAATGTCAACATTCAGTGAATGAGCACTAAAAGTGCGTCTAAGAAGGGTTTAACTTGGTTCCAGACTGAAACTCCCTCTTGTGTTTGGGGTCTTTGGCTGGCCCTCAAAATAGAGCAACTTGACCCAGCATGAATAACTGTGAAGTGTCTCATGAGACAACCACTGAATCTTCCAAGTAAGCCATGTTATTCTAGACTATTTAAGGACTGTTCAGGACCTAGGAATTTCATACACTATATGATATTTCTAACACTTAGATGACATAACCCTTCAACAAGAAATAGTAAAACAAAATCAAGAAATAGTGGAAGAGAAAATAAGTTACAGAAAGGAATATAATGACAGAATCATGTGGTTACATGGATATTTTTAATGTCTACTCCTAAACTAGTCACATTTAGGTCTCCTTATACCCACTGAACAAAAACAGGAACTTGCAGACGCAGTGTATTGGACAAATACAAGAAGATGCAATGAATCTTATTCTACGAGTGTCTGTTTTCCTCCACTGATTACAGGGAGAGTATAGATAATTTCATGAGATGCTAAAACCTGCGTTGTTGCCATTTATATTTGGTCACAGCTATCCCTCTCAAGGTTCTTGATGTAACTCCAGTTTGCTTTAGATAGCCTTCCATCCCTGATTGTTACACAGGCAAATTATGCTTATCAGTATATCGCTGTGTGAGGTGATATACTGAAGCTCAGGTTGAGCCACTTCCATTATTAAGTAGCTTTGCAAGGTCCCAGGTTCAGTTAAATGCACATGTCAGAGTCATTACACAGCTGGAATGGGCCTGATTTACCTGTCAGGACGAGCTCCACAGAATCCAGCTTAGTTACACAGAGGTTAAAGAAAAATACTGGAGAAGACAAACAAGTCTTACTACTTGATGAAATGCTTCAGTGTTGCTAAATATGATTTAATCAGAAACACAGATCTAGAGAAGAAATGAATGAAGGCACATTCAATGAATGAAGAGGGAAGGAAAAACATCACACTGTGTTGAAATTATTCAGCTTAGAAGGAAGTTCAAATGCTACAAACACCTTGTAAAATAAACATCTTTCTTGCACTTAAAATGAAATAGGCGTATCATTAAGGACCCAAATTTAAATGCTTCATAGTTGAGACACTAAAATCTTAAATTACAAGATTCTGACCTGAATTCATCTTTGTGAAAAAACTGACATAACTGAAACTATTTTAAAGTTAAAGTGCTGAAGTGAGTCTGAACCATGTTTTGATATTAAAACTAGCTCTTAGCTGTGTTATGTTAACAGAAAAAGCACAATTAATTTTTCAGGTAATTAGAGCTGTACTAAGTCAGGAGTTCACAACACAAACAATATGAGTGACATAAGCCTGCTAATCTCAGAACTGTGGAACGTGTTCCAAAGTCACAGGAACTTGCCTGGTGACTTCTCCAAGTGCTAGGCCAGATTGTTAAACACCTTAACTTTCTGAAATTTAGACCGTCATTGGGATTGCCATAATCTTAAAAAAGTTTCTGCACAGCAATTTCCCCATTTTATCCTGTCTCTTGATGGAATTTCTAAAGGTTCCTACCCTGACCATCCTAGGTCCCTAACTTAGGTCTTGCAAGTTCTCTTTTCCATGAATTGTACCAGAAGCTTGGATGGGCAGCTTTGGACAGAAGGCAGCCTGGTACACCTGCTTCTCTCCTCAGTTTTTCTCCCACAGTAATCATGACATCTCACCCAAGCACTTCTAGGAGCAGGATGACTACAGTTCTCAGTCTCTTGAGCATCTGTCAGAAGGACTGAGAGACAATATACAAGAGACAATCACAAGAAATCACAGTCCAAGTCCATTCTGTCCAACAGTTCAACCTGCAGCTACAGTCTGGGGGGAGCACAGAATTGTCACCTGACCCCAGGCCCTGGCAAGACCCTCAAATGCCTCAGTCAGGGTGGGTCAAAACTCATTCTTACCTGTGAGCTGATAGGGACTTCCTGGTCCTGAAGAGCTTTCTGGTGAGTTGGGGTAGCTGATGCTGTTAGGCGACTGGGAGAACATGTGGCTGGGGGATGATGGAAAAGGGGTGCATGGAGGATGCTGGAAGGAATCTGGATAAGTGGCGTTGTGCGGCATCAGTGGCTCGCTGTGCAGAGAAGTGTTTCGAAACTTGGCAAGGAGGCTGAGGTGAGGGTTAAACTCACTGTGTCTTGGAACGAGTACAGGAGGTAAGACTGAAAACAAAAACAACAGAAAAAATGGTTGAAGCTGAATTCCTGAAAGAATAATTTGTTGTAAGCTAAAAAGAGGCATATTCTATGCTGCTCAAATAATATAGCTGTCTGCATACAAGTCATTAAAGAGTAACAAACCTGTCCAAAACCAAGATTCAAAAGCTGAATTCTTGGACATTTTTCTCCAGATCTGCAGCCACTTACAGCGGTTCCACATATAAAATAAGGAATCTTGACTTGAGCAAGGTACCATAAAATTCACAGGTATGGCATGCAGAAATACAGGCGGTATATCTCTCCCTTTCAAAATTACCTATTCTATCCTTCTTCAAAAACTGAACATGTCAGGAGTTTTCTAAATACTATCACTAGGATGTGACAAATGCACAGCCAAGTTTAATAACAATTAATAGTGCTCTGCAATACACTGCATATTTTGCTACCAGCATGTTATGCAGATGGGCAAAAGGAAGTACAGACCTGAAGCCAGACACCAGATCTGAAATGTTGTCAGGTACTTGAAAATGCTGCCAGACAGACAGTGAGGTCTTTAAAAGGAAATGTAAATGGCAATTCAAACATTGCAGCAATGTCAATTTATCTCTTGCAATATAGTTAGAAAACATTTAGCATAAGAAGGCATATGTCAGTGGTTGGTATTTAAGACATGAAAAATGCAGGTCAGAAAACTGAAATCCAAATTAACCCATTTAAAACTTAGTCTAGTAGAAGATACTGCCTATCCACAAACTCTTCCCTTTCATCTCACACTGTCAGCACTGTTAACAGCATTGCCTCTTTGAGAAACCCAAAGTTGATCCAAATTACTTTGGATTGGGACGTATGAGAAGCAAGAGTAGAATTAAGACTCAAAACACTTTAAAAATCCTGACTAGTGAGATACCTATGAAGATGCAGTCCCTAGGCTGGAACACAAGGAGGCTTTCAGAATAATTTTGAATATGAGAGTTCAACCTGAGGCTTTAACTGTGTCTTCCATAGTCCTTGATAGGGAGCGCAGCAACTACAATGGGTGATTCCTGTACCCCAAGATTTCTCTATTAGTTACTAGCTCACATTATACCTAATTATCTTAGTTAAGGCTTTCAACACAGGTAGGGGGAATGAATTCCCAGTTGGTATTATGCAGATCTAAAAGCTACCAAAGAAGATAATTATGGAGGCAATTGAGTTACTGTCCCCAGCATCGAGGACAATTCAGCAGGCTTGTATTGACTGACCTAGTATCCAGAGTTCCTCCGGCCTAAAACCCAGTAGCACATCATCTTCCAGTGTGTCCTTACTAGTTTATGGAACCAAATAGCAATGTGCACTCTTGGTTTTAAATGTTGGTGGGAATATACAGTCAACATGTTTTAACATATTGCTTGGGCCAAAAAGCTCTGTCTAGGTAAGGCAAATTCTTTTTACGTAGGTTAGCTAACAACTTTTAATTACAGCAAACTCTCATTTATCTTAATGTTACTCTTAATGAAAGAGCGGAATAATTGCTATTGAATAAAACAAATAATGTATAGATAGTGCAAAACATGTGCATGAGAAGAGTCTGCAGGAACTCTTCTTGGAATGCACATCAGTTGCTCAGAGAGCCGGGGCATTTACAGTGCCCGGTACCAACAATGGGTTTACAGCTTCTAGCTCAGTGTGCACCATGCTGCAGTAGAGGCAAGGTTAAACAACGTGCCTGCCCACCCACTGGAATATACCACTGGGAATCTGGTAGTCACCCATGACCTGAAGAACTGAGCCCTAAAACTATGCAAAATATTGGACTGATTGGGAGTTCACTGCAGAAGTTAGCTTCTCACCTGCCTAGAAACACAGGCACTGGGAAACCTCTTAAGACACTACACTTACATGCTTCTCTGGCCCTATGCATTGCTAATTAGCCTCTGGCCAGGACAAGGATTGGTGCTCTGGAGACTGCTTTCTTTCCTTCTGCCTCTCATATGCCCCTATTTGTGGCATGAAGTCTACTGCCACTTTCTTAAGTAGAGAAAGGTACTTCTTCTTCACTGTTCTTCTTTTAGCTTTAAACATCCAGGTAGGACTCATACAGGCAATACAAGTATTGACATCTGACATGCACTGCCCAGTCCCCTGTGGATCTCTTCACAGCAAGTGGAGAGGAATACTTTTACTGCAATATATTGGGACAAGACCAGTACCATCACTGTGGATGTGGTTTTGGTGAGCTGTATGCCTTCCATCCCATGCGCCTGTGAACAGCTCCAGGCTGTGAGCTGTTGCTTCTTCTGAAGTTCTCCTTTGCTGCTTCTGGAGTTTTCCTCAACAGCTCCATGAAACTGGTATGATGCTTGTCAGATCTGCTGCTGATCAGCCAGCTCTGACCAGCAGTCTTTGAAAATGAGGAGCTGGTGATCCCTTTGCACCCAGCAATGCTGTGCAGTGTTGAGGCTGACACTTCACTGTGGGTAGCACAGCTAAGGGAGCTGCTTCCTGCAGCCCTGTGAGAACTTGACTCCTTCTCTAAATGAAAGCTGAGAATCTGGATGTGTGACCAGAGCTTGCCAGGGAAAGCCTTTGATTTGCCTTGAGTGAGTCAGCAGGAGGAATTTTCAAGCCTTGAACTCCTTCCCAGCTCTGACCATGGCAGTCTTAATTTCTGCTCTGCTGAACAGTTTTTGCCACCTCACTCATTCACTCACTCTTTCCACTGACTGTTCTGTGATTGCCTAGAGGGCTAAAGCCTCTGTGGTAGGGAGGCATTCAGAGATTATCTGTTTGTGGCTAAGAGTACCCCCAAGGGCCTTGATCTCCTTGCTGTTTTGGTAACATATCACTCTCCAGGGCTCAGCCACTCTGAAGGAAGTGTGACCAGAGGCATAAAACTGAGTAACTGAGTGTGTTGGGACCTGTCAGTCCTCATAAATTACCTGCATTTTCTCCACTCATTGGGGTCCTTTTCTCCTACCTGCTATTTTCCACCAAGAGCCAAAGGTGGATCCTTCCTCCTACGCATGCTGAAGTGTTGATGGTCTGTTCAACTGAAGACAAATATGGTCATGTCCTAAGTCCTGCCACTGCCTTTCATGTCTTTCTCCCATTCCCTTTAGCTTCAACAGCTCTTGCTGGGAACCTGGCTGTGCCCAGAGCCTGTGGTTTCAGATGCTAGCAAGCAAACTTATCTACCTGATTTTAATTTCAGGTACAATATCCACACCGCAATTTTTCACACATTAATCCATTTCTGCATAGTTTACTACTTTTGGAAACCACTCTCAGGTGAAATCTGTCTACTCCCTTTGCCCATGACTACTCCCAAACAGATGGCCAACAGTGAGGCCATCAGATTGTCTTCCACCTGGGGAGGCTACCACATCTTAGACCCACTTTGGCTTTATGAAAACAGTCAAAGTCAAAAATTCTCCTGTCTACAGCAATGGTGCACCCTCATTTGTAATACTTATATATGAATGACTTCATATAAAAACAATAGGGTATATGTTTGCTGGCAACAAACCAGATTTCTGAGAAGCTCTTTGAAGGCAACGATGAAGGGTGAAGCAGAGCATAACCAACATAACTACCTCCTTCAGATTAGGTGGCCTAACTCCTTTCTCCAGTGGGATGTTGCACTCATAGAGGAAATATTTCCTGCTTTTTTTCTAAGTGGCACCTGCTATTCAGCAGACTGGAGAAGAAATCCGCCAGGAATACTCGTAGCAGCAATAAAAGCCATGTGTAATCTGTACAGTATCAGTAGCAAAGCCTAAAATGGGACTGGGAAGCCTGCAGACACTGCAGAGGTAATGAAATCCCCAAATCTCTAACCAGATTTCAAAGCTGTACTCTAGTAACAGAGGTCTAGGAATTTGCAAGGCTGTCAAAAAAAAAAGGTGAGGCCCTTCCATCTTTGACACAAATCATTCATTCTGGATTAAAGTTAATGGATCTGGTCATAGAGCGGTTGACTAGGCAAGAAAGACTGCAGTGATGGAAAATGATCCCCAAAAGGATGGACATTTGTATGAAAATAATACCAGTATGTGGATTATAAAAAAATACAGTGTTGTCTTATTCAATGGGTGGATTCTCTAGCTCAAGAGGATGAGACTCACAGAATCTCATATAAGCCTAAGATCACCAACAGCCAAGATGGAGATTTCCTGCCGTTAAAAGAGGACTGTTGTTTTAAAAAGACCAGCACCTAAATCAATAACTCCCAGCCTTCTCTGTGGTGATCTCACTGCTACCACTTTCTCATGAAGTTGATTTGTTCTCTTGCCTTGCCAAAACCTCCTTGCACCACTGCCTTCTAACTGGGGTTGCACTGCACCACTTGCAGAGGTGCAAGTTCCGTTTCCTACTGCTGCCCCAGAACACCTGAGTGGGTTGTACTCTTTGTGATACGGTACAAATATATAATGTATCTGTGAGCTTCAGCCTCTGAGTTGTCCCTGTAAGCAGAATTGTAGGGGTGAATACAACAGCCTGAGAACAATTCCTGGGTCCTGTGGAGAAGTGGCACAGCACAGCTTGTATCCTCACAGCTGCACTCACTTTCACCTCCAAAACAAGGTGGCCAAGTTCAAAGTGCCCAAAGTCCCTCCTGTGGGCTAACCCCTGCACTGAGAGCTGCTAGTCCACACGAGTCCACATGGATCAAAGCTGTTCCTGGGATCATGTTACCAATTCAGCAGTACCCAGACCTGCACCTTGTCCCCTTCTACTTTACTAGCAGAGATACTGCCAGTCTGCTGCACAGACAAACAATAGAGACATGTTCACAGCTGAAAGCTTCTGAGTTTCAGGATCAGAACAACAAGCTTTGGCAGCCAATTAGCAGCTGCTGGACTATTCCATTAGCAGTGTTTGTTAGCTGGCATTGAACAGATGAGAAATCCAGTGTTGAAATCGGCACGTTCAGTGCTGTCAGCTACTGCACTGAGGAGACTCCATTAACTGCACTGAAGTTACACCAGAAGAAATGAGAAAACACGAAAGACTGCAGCCTGCAAATAAAGAAGTGCAATAAACAAAAAATGGGATATTTTATGACCATCTTTTCTTAAATTATTGAAGAGTTTACTTTAGCAGGGCGTGAGATCAGCTCTTTTCACTGAAAACTGTTGACAACAAGCACCACTCAGTGTAGCTGTAAAACAGAAAAGTTTTGACAGTGTTTGCAGCAGATCAGATATGACTTCACAGTGACAGCTCTGCTGCACTGGAAGGACTAACAGAAGAGGAAGCAGGCCCTGGTGTTTAACAAATGTTAACAAATGTCTTTCCCTTATTTCATCTGTGTGAAAAGAAACATCCCACAGTTCACTTATCTGATCCTAATATCACCTCAAAGTAAAGTTCATGCCAGACAAGGAGTAATTTCAGAATAAAAGGTATACACTTACCAACTGTATCCATTAGTAAATTAAATTACGGTGATTTTTGGCAGCAAGGGAGAGCTAGGTTAGACATTAGAAATAATTTTGAACTGTAAGGATAGCAAAGCAATAGATTCACTTGCCTGGGGAGGTTGTAGAGCCTTTATCACATGGGATTTTTAGAGCTCATTAGAAAAAGATTTGTCAGGAATGTACCTGGTAATTTGGTTTCGTTTGGGAGTCTGGGCAGAGGAAAACAGGATGACTGCTCAAGACCTTTGCCAGCCCTGCTTTCTGAGATACCTACAGAAGTCAACACTGAACACTACAATTTTTTAACAGCTCTTTTACTGACATAAAGCCCAATTAAATGACCTTTCAGTGAGGTCGTAAGTTTTTGTGCAGTCCAAAGAGAATTATCAGTGGAAAACTCCAAAAATTTAATGGGGACCTGTTGGATTTATGTCACATTTCTCTCCATTTACATAAGTAAATCCCGCTTAAGGCAGGCCACCAGGTATTTTAGGAAAAATCAACTGACCTGGTTTTCTATTCACTGCAAAATATGCCATCTTACCACATGCAGCTCTTATCTTTAAAGAGGGAGCTAGTGTTTTCTGAGGGTTAATGAGTCAACTGCTGGTTTTCAATGAGACATAAATATCACCACGGTGGTGAGGCCAGGCTGGTGCCCAGACTTCATGCAAATGACCATCCGTTCAGACAGGGAGGATTCAGCACCCAGGTCCGTGGAGAGGAAGCTGCTTTCAGCACCTTGGACAAGATCCGGGTGCCCTCAGGGGCCCGATGGGCTGCAGACCCCAACGGGAGAGGGGCTCCTCACACCCTCCCCAGTCCTGGCTGCCAGAGCTGTGATTGCACCAGGCAGGGTAAGACCCAAGATCCTTCCATCAGATGCAGCCTGCCTTTTCACATTTCAGAGCACAGCTGTAGGATGCACCAAGACTAAACCTGCTGGAGCAAGAGCTAACACAGAGCTGCGAATCATTTGCAGATGACACAATTACCTGGGGTTTCCACCCGCCGGTAATGGTAGGGGTTGATGCACACTTCTTTCTGTTTCGAGCCAAAAGGGAACTCACAACATTCCAGTGGTTTCAACTCATGGTGAGATTGTAAATCAGGCCAGCGCCACACTCTGCAATATATGACGTGGGGAAGCCCCTTGCGGTGAGACACCTGCAGCCGCCCGTCCAAGGAACGTGGGATCGTGACACATTTACTGGGCTGACCCGGGCAGCTCAGAGCCCTCTCTAGTTCTTCCATGGCTCCTTTTTTCTTCTTTAACTTCTTCACCAAGGAATCAACAGCTTTTTCTGCCCACTTTTCTTCTTCATCTCCTTGTTTCCAGCCCAGCAGCCTTTTCACTGCGGGGCTGGTGAAGGAGAACAAGGAACTGATAGGGGTGCTGGAGTGCATAAGAAGCAGAGATCACGCACGAGCGTCAACGGAAGCACAAACTGCTCTCCTGCCGTGCAAGGCCTGCACAGAGTTTCCACAGTATTGTGATGGACACTTCCTTCAAGGACAGGTTCTTTCACACGTACGTTTTTGTAGTCTTAGGTACTGGTTACAAGTAGCCCGACAGGGTGGGTCTCAGAACTTTCCAAACATCAAGAAACTGCTGATGAAGCCTGGAACAGCAACACAATACATGGTTAGGCTTCACACACTATTTCCATTGTTCCTTCAATAAAATATTTTGAAAGAGAAATTACTCAAAATGTGTAGTTAATTTTCAGCGGTTTTCTGTTTGGTTTTTGATGTTTATTTTGGGCCCAAGCCTCTCCTCCCCACTATCCACCCCACTCATTTTAGAGTTGGACCATGGAAATTGTTAACTATCCAGTCACTTCAACTTGTGTTTAGAGTTTAATGCACCAGACAAATAGTTGCAGGACTAAGATTTTTTTTTAGTACAAAAGAAAATTTACCCTCTTTTTTATATGCTGGTAGCTGTAGGTTCAGTTCAATCATCTTCTATGAAAAAAAATATCTAATATTAAATTTTATGGAAGCAATGAGTAGAATACTGTTGTGACTTCAACTCCCTCTCTGCCACTCCGATCTCACTGTACTGTCAAGAGTCATAAAATATTAACTGCAAAACTAATTTAAACTACTCCTACATTTCATTTAAGATTTTTGAAAGATTTACTAGTATTCTCTAAACTTATTTATATTTTCCTACATGGAAGAGAAAAAGTTTTCATGCCTACACAGTCTGTTTCTCTCTGTTCAACAATTCACAGCTTTCTGGATCCAAATCACAGACTTTTGGACACAGTTTGTGCTGCATGGATCTTGAGTTATTTTTGCTAGGAGTTGCTACATCTGACAAAGTCCAACAGAAAGAGTTTAGTTCTTGAGGGCTTTGCCTTTTTTTTTTTTCTTCATATAGCTGGAGCCAGTCTAATTTTAGCTGAAAATTACATATTTCCACTGACTGGAACTCTGAGGAAAAATGTCCTTGTACGTCAAGCTATTTACTGCTTTAAATATATTTCATGGACCCCCTGTGCACAGCAAGTCCAAAGGTCTGAACTACACAGAGGGCACTTAAAGCAAGAGATGGGGATAGCTTCCAAATGGATGCTTCTAGAAAAGCAGCTCCATGACCATCCAATTCCACCCTTGTGGACCTTTTTGCCCCCACCAATAAAGGCCTGCTCACAGTTCTCAGCACTACTTAGATGCAGCCACTGAGGAGACAAATGTTGCCCAGCACAGAGAGTGGCAGAGCTTCACAAACCATATTTGTGTGCAATTTCCTTCAATGTACAGATCTTGTAGGAGTTCAAAGGGCACCTGGGGACGCCGTGTGCAGGTGCAGGTACAGCACAGCGAGACAGGAGGCCAGTCCCAAAGACTGGTTCCTTGGCATACTCGGATACCCTTGGCACCACACAGCTCTGGAGCATGCTGCAGGGTGAGCACACATGGCCCAGGGCAGCACAGCCTCTTGGACAGGCTGTGATGTTTACTGAGGACCAAGGGCTGCCTAGAGCTGTTTTTCTCCCAGCTCTTCTGTTTTGTTCTCATGCCCATCCCTATGCCCCACTGCATTACCCTTTGAAATGCCCTGAGAAATGCAGATACATGGAAGCATAACGAGTTTTTCTCTTCCTCCTCGACAGCAGCAATGGTGGGGGAAGAAGCTCAAAGTTCCAAAGCCTTCCGCTGCACTAGGAGGATGGAAGCACTTTGCCCCACAGAGAAGAAATCATGAAAGCAACTCTGGCAGCAGCAGCTACTCTTCCCCAAGACTTTCATATGCCAAGCACCATGAAAATATGCACAGAGGAAGGCAGAACAGGCACACCTTGCTTCAGGCACCCACTAGAGCACTCAGCTCTGGTTTATGCAATTTCTACATTATCAACCCATGTGTGTCCATTTGTCCTCGACTGTCAAGGGACAAAACCGGCAGAAACCCCCTCACTTGTGCCATTCATCAGTCAAAGATCTATTCCAGGGAACTGTGGAAACCTGTCCTACCTACCAAAAAAAGAAACTTCAGATTCCAGATTTTTTTCTCTGACCTGGAGTTATGTAACTGGATAGTTACTAGTGCCTCTAGACAAAACCAAAGTCTACTCCAAACACTTAGAGGGTACACGTGAGAATGAAGTAAAATCAGTGTGATTTATCACAGGGAAAAAAAGCCCTCAATCTGTTTGTAAAACATAATGTGGATAAAATTCAGTCAGGCAGGCTCCAGCCTTTGCAGGAGCAGGCTCAGCCTAAAGAGCCCAGCACCAGCCCCATGCAGACATCCTGTGCAGTGGAGGTGTCTGTCCCTCGCTGCCCTGCTGAGAACCTGTGGAGGATCCACCATCACACTGCTGCCATTGCTGGCAGCACCAAACCCCATCTTCACAAGAGAAAATAAAACAGTGCTGGGATCACTGTGGATCAACCCTGAAAGCAGCAACAGGAAGCAAGGAAAGCCTGGGATGAAAGCCCACTGGACCAGTAGCAGTGTAGGAGTCTCTGCTCTATGCTGAGAGGGAAAATGGCTCACACTTCTTATCTGAGGGGGGCTCCTGGGCATTGGCATGTGTAAACAACTGCTCCTGATAAGTTAATGCAACATTACAATCATCAGATGTGAAAACACACAAGTTCACATAAAAGTATTGTCCCGAGATTTTCTTTTCCATTTTGACCAAGGTTTTAAATAAACACATTAATCTCGTTCAGTCAAATTAAATAACTCAACAGTGACATCAGTATGAGTCTGAGCACTATTGTTGCTAGTGGGAGAGTTGCCAAGACTATGTGTATAAAAGCAAAAGCCGTGCTTTGCAGACCATGTGATGTAGCCTCAGATAAGTACATTGCACAATTTCCTACCGCGCTCCCCCCAGTTTCTTCTATAATCTTTTTCCCCCAAATTCAACTGACATATGAAATATAAATGGTATTAAATAAACTAAACAGCTTTCAAATAATATTATCAGAACATCCTAGTTTAATGTTATTAAATTACATAGTACTGCACACTATTGCCCAGACTAAGCCCCGTGTTGCTATGCTTAGATTCTCCATAGCAAAATAGCGAGGCAGCCGCTCTGCTCCAGGGCCGCAATGACAGAGATGTCAACTCACAATTTAGTTTTAACAGTCTTTCAGGACAGCAGTTAAGCTTAAGCCATATGCCTTTGGTAACAGGCAACTTGCCTACCCAACTGGAATGTTTCAAACCCACACCAGATGTATCTTCTGTGCTGATGATCCATTGTTTTTCTCGATGCTAAATGCAGTTTAGAGTGGCAGCAGGGAGGGAAGTGTTACAGTTTTGATCCACATTCCCAGCACATCTCCATTATACAATGATGGAAGTTCTGGTCTAGTCAGGTTTATCTCCCTCAGTGACAATACGACGTGCTATCATGAGGATGAGTCAGGCATCGCTCAAGATACATTCCTAACACGATTTCCTCCTCTGGGACTACAAGGAAGGCTTTGTCTATCTGTCAGCTAAGTGACTGGTCAACACTAAACACAGTCAGTCTTCCGTGCTGTAAATCTTAATTCCATCACTGAGTTTAGATCTGAAGATTTAGGGAAGAGGACTTATGGGACATGAGCATGGACTCACCCTTTTGTTTCTGTGGCCTGCAGGAGAAGGTGGGCCTGGAAACATGCCAGCCCAGTTCACTGGCTCCATTCTCCCTAAATATAGGGTTGTCTACTATTTTTGTGGCACAACAGCGGTGGGAAACATCTCCAGGCGCAGGAACTTTACTGCCTGTAGCATGTTGTTACCACAGCATCTGGAATGGCTTTGGTCTGTGCCAGCAGCACTCCCCCAAACCACTCTCGTGCGTAGTTCAAGAGTTAGGAGGGAACAGGGGTCACTCCTAATAATAAGTCAGCACAGAGGTTTGAGGGTGAGACAACCATTGCACAGAAGTCTTAAGACCAAGAACAGTACAAGGCACGTTTAATTTATTAGTATAGAAGCAATTTTTCAGTAGAATTTACTTGACCACATAAACATGTCCAAATTTTTGACGCCTGACCTACTCATCCTCAAGTCCCTAAATAAGTATTTGAGAAAAATATTTGTGTACATGTCATGGAGAATTCCACCTAAAGGTAAATACCCAGCAAAATCAGGCACAGCACACAGCTAATGCTGTGAGAGATGGGGCACCTCAATGACTGACTGAATGATTACAAGGCTTAAGAGCCAGAAAAATTAACACCAAGTGGAAGGGACCATGATATCCATGATATTTTCTCCTTCTCCTACACCCATTTTTCACCTTCAAGTATAGAAACAGCCCATAGGTCCTCAGGTCAACAGGAGAAATGTGTTGCTCGAAGAGCTCCACTTCTACTGTGGTACTAAAGAGCCTGACATGCTGGGAGCAGAGGAAAGACCACCACAATTGTGGGCTTATGATTTCCTAACTGGAGCCAGATCCTGATGAAGTCAATAAGAGGGATTAGAGAGCCCATGGGAATTAAACATTCCCTCCTCTATGTGCCATGCCAACATTCTGACATCTCTTCCATGGAAAGATTTTGTGAAGTTTAGATTTTACCTAATGTAAAATAGATCCATTGTGTCAGGGAAGATTCACATCACACCTCAGCAGAATGCCTGTGCAGTCCAACATGCTGATGAAGTTTCCTCTAATTCAGTAGTCAAAGAATCACAGAATCATGGAATATCCTGGGTTGGAAGAGACCCACTAGGGTCATCAAAGCCAATTCTTGGCCCTGCAGAGGCCACCCCAAGAGTCACACCATGTGCCTCAAAGCATTGTCCAAACACATCTTGAACTCTTGTCATGCTTGGTGCTGTGACCATTTCCCTGGGGAGCCTCTTCCAGTGCCCAACCACCCCCTGGGTGAAGAAACTTTTCCTAATACCCAACCTAAACCTCCTCTGACACAGCTTCATACCATTCCCTCAGGCTGGGGGAATTTCACTCCCATAGGCACAGCAGGGAAATTGTACCAGTCCTTGTTAAATTTCACTCTAAGCTTTCTGCAGAAGTCAAAAGGAAAACTTCCATGGATGCTAATGAAAATAGACTTAAGACACCATTGTAAAAGCAAAGTTTCCAACCTCCCTCAAAAGCATATCTGTGTATGGGTATGTAAGCACGGATGTGGGCAGATGTGCGTGGGCTTCTGGTCTCGGCA